TTACCAAAAAAAAAAAGGTAAAAAAACCCCAAAACCCATTGCATTCTGGTAATTTATCCCCAAACCAGCCATGTGTAAATCCCAGGAATTGGCTAAGCTTCAGCCTAAAGGAAACTCAAACACTGTTTTGCTAATACGATGTCTTCAGTTGCAGTAAAAGTTTTTAAGTATACCCACATGAGAACTAACATGCATGTATCCTTTCAGATTGGATTTCTGTGCTGTGAACTAGATCAGAGAGCTGATCCAGCTTATAAGGGAAGCGTCAAAGATATTATTCTTTGTACTGGTTGAGTTCTTTATCTGGACCATAGATATCTGTGGGGTTGCAGAAGTAAGGGAGTAAGAGGGAAAGGGCCATGCAGTGGTCATGGCTTGGTGGGGGAAACCTTAAACCCCTATTGCTCCCAAGACAATGCGTTGTCAAACTGTGGCCTCACATTCCCTGGCATAGAAACACACAGAGGATGCAAACTGCCTTAGCTCTCTTCTGCTCTGCAGCTGCAGGAATGTTTTTGGAGTGAGTACAGACATTACAAACTTGTGCTAGCCTTGGTACCATTTACAATGAAACCACAGTGATGTGGGCCTTTGGCATGAGGTGTAACTCCCCCTCCCATCCAGGATTCTGAGCGTTTACTTAGGCAGGCAGGTCTGAGCTGCTGTGGCTTCACTGCTCTTTTAGCGGGATTAGCTGGAGCACGGCTAGTTTGGAAGCTTCTCTGCATGCTGCTGTTAAGCCTCTCAAGCAGCTATGGATGTTGTGATGCTGTGAAAGTATGACACATGCATTGGAACCATTGTGTGGCCCTGGATTAGACACAGCCGATCTTTCTTTTTACTCAGAAGTTAATTTATTTTTCCCTTCCTGCTTTCAAGTTAGATCTATAACTTGATTTCATAATCCCAAAGAATGAATGTAGCACCCAGCAGAAAGGGTGTAGGCAACAGGACAAGGGAAGAGTGTTGCTGCTGTGCTGAGTGCCAGTGAATTTATGACTGTCAATTTGTTAGATTCTTCCTTAGCCCCCAGCCAGGTGAAATTTGAGGCAATAGAGAGGAGCAGTTTAGAAGAGGGTAGGAACAGGAAAATGAAGAAAAGGAATATTAAGTTTGAGAAAACCAGAAGAAAATTAAAACGGGACAAAGGTGAGAAAGGAGACAAGAGGATGGAAGCAGTAACTGAGGAGAGGGATGGTGGAACTGACTAATAAAACTTGGAGCAAAACAAGGCCAGGGAGGCCAGTAGAGTCCTCTCTCAATGCAGCATGTTTGAGCCCATCATCCTTGTATAGCTACCCTTTGTTCTTAGTTGACCCTAGTCAGCAATTGTCCGTTGCTCCTCTGTTTCATCTTTCTCTGGCATTGACGGCTCAGTTACTGATGACTTAGTGGCTGGCTCTATAAGCAGAGCCGGAACCCTCTTAATGCTCACCTTACCTGAGACACTGGCTAAGAAACAAAGAGCTCTTGTATGAGCCCAGCTGCTGTCTCCACTTGCCATGTACAGTAGCAGCACCCTGGGCAGCTGGAAGTGTCTAAGCAGGTGAGCTCCTGGCTCTGATCTCTTTGCTCCAGTCTTTTTGCTCCCAGGTAGAGCCTCAACAGCCTGTGCAGCATTATGCTGGGTTTAGGAGATCTGAATAACCTAGTTTCCCTAGCAACAGTGGCCTCTTTAATCACAGAGATACAAGTCTACCTCTGTTATTAACGTTAAGACTTGTGTAGTGTATCTGGCTAAGGTAATAGTTTGCTTCTGTTAGAAAAATGGTAAAATAAAAGCAAGAAGGCCCTTCTGCCTTCGAGATAATTAAAATCTCCATAGGTGGATTTCAGTGCTGTATGCAACAATAATAGAAAGAAGAGGGATTATAACTACTTCTAGGCTTTTTAATGTGTGAAGGATCCCTAGAGGATGCAGAAATAAAGTTTTAAATTCTGTGTGGAGCTTTCTATCCACAGATCTCATGGCAGTCTGTGACGCTGATAGATTCATTCCTAGTTGAGATATTTTAATCTTTATGGATGGGGGGGCAAAGTGATTCAAAGAGAGACTGAATCTTGTTGTAAAGCTAGGAATAAATCTCATCTTCTGAGTGTATGTCCTCCACCTGGCCTTTCCATCAGCTTCAGATAAAGGTTCCCCTGTGCAGTAGGAGACAGACATGTTATGGAAGGTAGAAGTGTGAAGCCTGCTTTTTAGCAGCAGAAAGTGAAGAAAGTGAAAATACAGTGATTCACTGCAAGCTTTTCTGCTAATGTATTTTAGTCTGCATTCACTCCCCCATTAACAGAAGTGGAGCAAACTATAAATTTTGACAGTGAACACTGGGAGTGAAAGAAATACTCCTGCTTTAATTTCTGCACAGCAACAGGGTCTTGTTTACTGCCTGTGTACAGGAGAAACTGGTTTGGATAAGAGTAGTTTAGATAAGAGTAGTTTGAACTTCTGAAGGAAAAAGAACTCCTGCTTGATCAAAGACGTGAAGTCTACATAAGTGCCCAGTAATGATGTTCCTCCCTGGATAATGCCAGTGTTAAATTGTCAGTAGTATCTTGCAGGATTCTTGGGTTATAAAGTTGTACAAGGGACAGCTGAATGGAAAGCAGGTATCTGCACTCTTTCACTGAAGTTATATGGTGTTAGGGGTTTTTTGTTTGTTCATGTGGTTCTTTTTTTATATGGCATAAATAATGCAGAGCTGCAAGGAGACACTCATCCTCCTTCCTTTTTATAATTCTGGTTTCTGGAGTCAAAACAGTCCCTTAACCTTCTGGCCAAACATAAGACCATCCATCTTGTGTGTAAGGAGAGTATTTTTACTTCTTCTTTTCAGTGTTTCCTTGTCTGTTTGGGTAGTGCAAGGTGGGAGCCATGCTGTCTTCTCATCTGCATTCTTTTAGCCAAAGAGCTTTTGAAAATTCCAGCATGAGATTTGGTTGGCTGGTATACATTATTCAACTTTGGGATATATTAAAATATTTTGTTTGTGACTGAGCATCCTTATTTCAGCAATTACCCCTCAAGCCTCTGTTTACCAAGTCAACTTAATAGAATGTCTTATAAATGACTGGGGAGCTCTGGAAACCTCTAACATCTAGACAAAAGTCCCTTCCAGAGAACATGTACCACTTTTTTTGTTTGGTGTGTGTCCCGTACACCCCCTACTCCCCCTGTCCATTCCTGTGGTGTTGCACAATCTAATGAGTCTTTTGAGGAACTCTGAGAGCTTGAGCACAAGGTAATACCACAAGCAGGCGGGTGACATAAAACTCACTGAGCTTGTTAAAATAATATTGCCATGGTTCTTCAGCATGCTAAAGGCCTTGTACACAGCTCTTATTTAGCTGGGTGGTATTTGGTACGAACCAAGACAGAGGCTCACTTCTACAGTGAGTTTATTGTTGGATTTTCAGTATATTGTTTGTATAAATTCCCTAGACCAGCTCTCCCTCCTGAATAAACCACATGGATCAAGTTTTATTCTGTTCCACACAAAGTTCACATCCTTTACTGCAATGAGTCATGCTTTAAAGGAGTTTACTGTGAGGGAGGAAAGTGGGCTTTAAAATGTTACTCCTCCACCCTGCCTTGGTGATGTTTAACAGGATTATTAGTATGCTTGGCAGCTGCTGCTTATTATTTTCACAGAACCTGGATATTTGTGAAAACAAGTAAAAATTGATTCTACTTGTGTTCAATTGTGAATTTAATGCATAATTTTAAACTTCTAAAACAAAGAAAGCTTTTGCCTTTTTTTTTTTTTTTTTTTTTGGTGGCTTTGTCTTCCATAAAGCTTGCCTTCTACTGTAAAAGTGGATCTATCTTACCTTCCTGTGATTGCTTTTCAGTTTTGGGAGAAGAGTGGCATTTTGTGACTTATAAAAGAAAGAAGAGGAACTCTACCATTTTGTGTTCAGTGGCCCATGCATGGCCATTACTGTTACAGACAGGACACTTCTGGGCATTGACAGGTGAAAGTGCTTCACAGGTCCATGTAACTCATATGTAAAGGTTGTCTCCAGCTTCTCTCAAGCAGGATGTGTGTGATATGGTGCCACTATACAGAAAGCAAATTTTGGTCCTCTGTGTATATTTCTTTGTGCAGAGAGGTAAAAAGCCTTTTAATCTATGGTAGAGGGAGGTGCTCAGTGTGTATCCTTAACAGATTTTTTCAGAAACAGTTTCTGTATGCAGCTACTAAAGATACCAGAACCAATTTTACTACTCATCTTTCCTGCAGAATTTCACTGATATCTCATGCAGTAATGGTTAATTTGACTCCTCATACCACAATCCTTTTTTATTTGTGTTTTGGTTGGTTTCTTTTTTGGGACACATACACACACACACAGAGGGGAGGGTAGGAGGGAGCAGGGTGGTTTGTTCATTTGTTTAAGGAGTTAGTCTCAAAATTGAGGAAGTGGGGCAGTCAATAGAAGAGGGCCTTTTAGGATTTTATTTTTGGCAGTAGGCTGTTTCACTTGACATCTAAGACCTTTCTTTCCTAGTCCTCTTGTTCCTAGAGGTCTGGAAAGAGTTATGTGTCTCCCCTGAGCTATGTATTATCTATGATTGCTAAACTGGCAGGGGCATCATCTGCTTCTGTACAACAGAAAAAACGGGGTCTGTTACCCTAACCCACCCCATTCCTAAACCCAAACTCCATAACTCTTATGGAGCCTGCAAAAGGATTTCTTTTAATGCTAATGCTTTTGAAGGAAAACTTGAGGGAAGGAGCTATAGTTAAATGAACCTCAATGTTAGATATTAGGAAGGACTTCACCTTTTAGGACTCAGAATGAGTGAAGTGAATGTTTGGTGACAACATAAGTTTGGATCAAATGAAGGTGTAAATTTAATTATATTTATCTATCTCTGACTCTGGGATTACTGATAAGTAATCGTAATGGTTGAGGCAGGCAGTGCCTTGTTTGACCAGCCTCTCTCCTGTCCAGCTTGACTCTAACCAGACAGATTTTTCTCCTGTGCTTTACAGATGCTTCATTCAGCGGCACACCACCTAGCTATGCGTACGATGCAGACCGTGCTGAAGAACAGAGGCGACATCATGATATGATGCCCTATATTGATGACTCGCCATCATCCTCACCCCATCTCAGTTCCAAGAGTCGGGGCAGCCGAGACACCTTATCTTCAGGATCTCTGGAATCTACAAAATCAGTGAGTCCTTTCCTGCCTTTTTGGAGTCAGCAAATGCTTATGATTTTGCAAGGGGTAGACTGCTTTAACAGAGAGCAAAGACAAGGGACTACCCCCACTGTGGGACAGATTACCTGACATAATATAGCAGTGCCTGATTTATATGGTCTATTTAAAGTTAAACTGAGGCTTCTAAGCTTCAGGGATGAGTGTTGTGTGTATGGTATTTAAGCCTCAGTTTTTCACCCTTTATGAATTTTAGTGGAGAGAATTGGTAATTAATTGCTGTTGAGAGGGTACCTAAATACCAGATATTTTGGAAAGGAGACTCTGGAACTAAACATCCTACATTAAGATGTTCATATATCTGTGCATGTGGGTTGTCATTGCCTTTCACATGGAAAATAAATTATTTTCAGGTAGGTTAAAGGCTTTGATAAAGCCTCTAGAATATAAGAACTGTTTCCTTCACCCTATGAAATTGGAATAAGAGGAATTAAATCAGCCAGCTCTGAAGTGTGGTAGCTTTGGGTGGGAGATGGCTGCTTCCTGTAATGAATTTGACTATTTACTAAATAGCTATCTATATAATCAGTTATGGTAGATAAAAAGTTCTGAAGGGACTACCTACCCTGACCTGTGGGTTGGTGTGGACCTCCAGGCTATCTTGCTTTATTTTTGCTTCAGGTTTAGTAGCCTGAGCATAGCTTGGAACTTAAGGAAAATGTCTGGTTTTGTTTTTGCAATAGTCTTGGTAGAGAGACTGCTGCTTGCCTTGGTAAATAACTATTGACTCTGCTGTCTTCACAGTCAAAAATGTTTTAGTTTCAGCTTGAATTTGTTTGACTTTCAACCTTTGTTTCTCTTTATCCTTTTGCTTCCTAGATTGTAAAGCACTTCAATCCCAAGTTGATGTTTCCCTGAATATCTTTGTCATCTGCAAACTTTTGGTTTCCCCAAGTCATTCATAAAAATGCTTAATAGCACAAAGACAACTGTCACTTCCTTCCTACTGTATTTTCAAGAAAGTGTAGCCAAACAACCTTGAATTCCCACATTGTAAAAGACACTTTGAAATTTGTCATTTAAGTGGTTTAGCATATATGTTGGCTTTATATTGTTCAGTCCTATTAAGATGTCATGAAAGAAGATGGATATTTTAGAGATATCAGTGTACATGTAAATCAACACCATCACCTTTATCAGACAGTTTTATTTATCTTGCACCAAAACAGTTTCAAGAGTCTGACAAGTTCCACAAAGCATTGCTACTTAGCATTCATTATATGCATTCTTCTATTACTCTTTATTGATTAGTTTCATGTCATATGCTTCCTTACTTTTTCTAAGATGAATGTTAGATTAAGAAGCCTACTTGAGTCAGTGTTCTTGTTATTCTTTCTCATTTGTAAAATGCATTGTCAAGATCTCTCAAAGCATTATCAAGTACATATATTGTTGATATTTGCCTAATTTTATTTGACTTTAAAGTATGGAATCTAGTTAGCTGCTTATGCTTTAGTCTATTAATTCCGAGATGCTTTTTTATCTCAAGATGAGAATTCTTGTGAAATCTAAGAGGCTTTTGAATGAAGAAATGATCATTAGTAAATTCAAAATCTCCAAGAATGTTTTAATATTGGCTTGAGATTTCCAGGTTATATTTCTCAAGATGAAGGAAAAATGCTATGTGACTACATATGGCTGAGAGTTATCTTAAAGGAACCAGTTATCATAGTGCCTGTGACTGGAGGCCTGGAAGAGACACTACCTAATTATTAATCTTGTTCTTTATTTGTTTGAATATTGTATCATAAGCATTTAACAGCAGTTAATTTCAGTTACCTTAATAATGCTAGAAGGCTGCCTTTTAAGAAATTATTTTTAACATAAATGACTGCTTTCTTCTGACTATAAAAAGATGTTTTATAGCTTCCTGAAGAAAGCACTGTCCTGATACAGATTAGACTTTTAATCATGAACGTCAACTGCTTCAGCTGGTCCTGTCTGTAATTAGTCCACAAATGACAATGCCACTCAGGAAGGACAGTCCGTGACAAGGAGGAAGAGACTAATTTATATATGGTTGTAGTATTTCCCAAACAAGTTAAGCTTTCTGTCATCATGAGTTGTTAGATGGTTTTTACTGTAGTTACGTTTTCATCTGTAGTGGAAAAGACATCAGTAACAAAATTAAGTGTCAAACACACCGTGCTGAGCCAAGCACATAAAATGTGCTGGACCAGAAATACCAGGATGTATGTTTTTTCTATTTTCTTTTTCATTACACTTGACTAGCAGAAAACATGTTTTGTTTACATGTGTGTGCTTTTATAGTTGTCTCCTTGTGCTTCTTTCTTAGGTGCCTGCAATTACTTCAGAAAAGTTTAGATTGTCTTTATGGTCAGAGTCTAGAAATCAACAGTTAACTGTATTTAACAACATAACACATGCACTACATACACCACTTTGACAAAAGATTAAGATTGTAAAGTCATTCAGAAGTTAAGAAATGAGTATGGTTATCCAGCCTTGCCTTGGGCCGATAGCCTTGTCTTGAATCTTTATGATAACTTTCAATTACACAATCATGTCCTATTTTTTCTATGGGGTTCTGCATTGCTCAGCATATATAGTAAGTGATACTCACTGGATTCAATAGTTTACATCTAGAGCTATGTATACCCCTTATTTACAGGACACTGCAAACTCTGCTCTGAGTACAAAAGTACTCATTTCCTTTTGGCATGACCATTAACTCCAAATACATTTGGAATGCCGCACAGGTCTTAATTATCCTTGCAATGTTCCTGTGAGATAAGAGGATGGTATGTTCACTAACCACGGGTAGTGAACAGATTATAGGAAAAGCATCTACTAATTTTGGGTGCTTAATGTGAGATGTATAATGTTCTGCAAATCCAGGTTCTGACTTTTAAATGCAGTTTTCTTCACATTTGAAGTGAAATCCCTTTAATTTCACTTGCACCTAAGAGTTAACAACATGCTAGTCACACACCCAGAAAATGGAAAACATTGCAAACAATTACTTTTTTTTATTTTTTTCATTTTTAAATATAATTCTAGCTAATTCACTTTGCATCACACAGACATAGCAGCATTCTGGTGTGATGTTCATCTGCCTTATCCGTCAGACCAGCTGCCTTCTTGGAGATTGGGTTGCGGCTATCTGGATATTGAGGACATTTTGCTTTGACTTATTTTGCGGGCTTGCCCTGGGCTGTGTATTTTTCTCACCAGTATTTGACTTACATAAGTGACTTATATGTAAGTGCTCCTTGTAGCATCTATAGCCTTTTGTTGGATAGCGCATCAGGGTTCCACCTGGTCTACCCAGCCACTACAGAGAAAGTGCAGAGTAGCAAAAGCAGTATCTCTTTCTAAAAGAGAATGAAGAGATACCTCCTGGACTACTTGTGGAGGGGCTTCATGTTATTCCCTCAGCATGTAGGGTCACCAGCTCCTAACATCTCATGTTCAGTGTTCCGGGAAGTGAAGGCTGCAGTTGCTTCCAGGTTTGTGGTGTTCTACGCCTTGTCATTTTGTAACTGTTTTCCAATCCCCCCTACCACCTGCATAGTATAAGCAGATAAAAAGACACCAGCTGGTCTGCCTCCAAACTGTACCTCTTCAGCCACCTCTTACGTATTCATATTCCACCTGCTGTGTGTCCACTGCCCACACATCTGTTGCTATCCAAGGAGGGTGACAAGAGGTGCAGCAGCAATAGTTTTGTCTGTGACCGAGAAGCTATAATCGACACTGAAGTTTGTAGTGTGGATCTTAACATCCCCTGACTTGACATTTTTGTGGTAAGGAAACCTTAACAAATGTTTGTATTGAGCAAGCTAGGTCGTACCCCCTCTTCTGGCTCTTCCAGAATCTCATGCTGAGCTGCTGACGCATGTCCTGGCATAAAGCCAGTGCTTTTGCCAAACTTTGTTGCTCTGAAGCAGGCCTACGAGGGAAGAGGAAGAAGCAGAAATAGGTTCCACTAATGCTTAAGTTGTTTGTTTGTTTAACATGAAGTGATTTAATTTTCCTGAACCTTGCTTCTGTAATAGTTGAACTGCTGTGATTGAACTTTCCAAAAATTCTGGAAACCTGTCTTGGAAAATGTCAGCCCAAATGTTTGCCGAATAAGACAGTGCTGGTAGCTTCAGAAAGTGTCAGACAATGTTTGTAATAGGTAGTGATAATTCACTCCCAGAAGGACAGAGAGTGTGTCTGTCTTCCCCATACAGCTAGGATGAAAAGTGGAGAAAATACCCAGATAGAGTTAGAGGAGGACAAGGGGAGAGCTTGCTATAGTATTCTCAGGGCATTGGAAAGTGCTGGGACAGCTGGAAAACTAATGACTGACACCCTTCACTAGAGAAGAGTTATTGCCAAGAGTGTTGGAGTGGGTAGCTTGTGGCTTGGAGGCTACAGAGACTGAGAAAGGATGGGAAGCTTCAGTTGTCATGATCCTATTGCTGCTACTCTATGTGGGGAGAGATTACTGCATTGGGAAGAGTAGAAATAAGAAAGGCCTTTCAAGATCTGCTTGCCAACAAAACCAGTCTCAAAGACATGTGTGGTGCTCTGGAGGTGGGTACAGGGCAGCCAGTGGGAAGGCAAAGCTGGTTCCGTCTGTGTGTCATTGTCATCACCCCATCCCTCACTGAAATGAGGGGAGTCATTTCTCTAGAGTTTAGAAGATGAGTTTTTTGCCAATAGATCTCTGCAATTGTATATACCGTGGACAGGGAGGCAGGAGTGCTAAAACTGAGTGATTAACTACTACTTTCTGTTCTGCTTGGAGGGGAAATTGGTTGGTACTTAGAGATTTCCAAGTAGAATTTCTCTTTCCTTCTTTGCTGTGCAGTCCATTGCTGGCAGAGCATTGGCAGCCATTGCCACTCCTGAGACCAAATTCTTTTGTTCTCACTATCTGCCAGCTATGTGGAAAGCAGGGCTGTGACAGAGCAGGCTGTGGATATTTCTCCTAGCTTGGTCCC